GGCTATAAGATTCCTTGTAGTATTCTCTCAATCCACCTATATAATAGTTAACTCTTTACAAATAATATAAGATCTATTTGTTTCTCTCACATAGTTTCTTGGTTCTTATGTTTAAGCTGGCTGTAAATTTACAGCCCGCTTCTTCTCTCTCCTCTCTTCTCCCCTCCACTTCAGTATTTGCTCTCACCGGTAGGAGCTGTACTAGTTTCTAGGAGTAGCATGGATGGATGGAGTAATGATCCAATTAACAAAGGGGGATTGGCTACCAACCCAGCTTCGTCACCGTCATCGGCAGCGGCAGGCCGGACGGCCGGGCGGCGCCGCTGCATGCGTCGGTGCAGCTGTGGCCATTTATGTATGCAGCTTAGGCAGGCAGGCAGGTAGCTCACCGGCCGTCTCCCGTGCATTCACTCCAGTCTCCCGTACGTACGTGTGTGTCTGTGTGTGTGGTTGGTCTTGCAGAAGTGCCGTTGCTGTAGGTCATTCACGTCGATGATCGGCGCTGCGGCTGAGCCCACCAAGTTTGTTGCGACAATGTTTGGGATTGGCGGCATCGGAGTCTCGCTCAATTCCTCCCTGCGCCGTGTCGGTTGGGAGTTACTCCCTCCGAGTGTTCTAAACTGATGAGAGAAAAAACTGATGATTTATCAAGAAATTTATGGAAAGAGAAAAAAATAGTTTCATCTGGAAGAAACCTATTATATACTCTTATTACTATGAGTATACCGAGCAATTTTGATATTAGCTCCAAATTCTTTATAGTCAATTTTATAGCTCATCCAACAATAGTTACCTATAAATATATACTACTCAATTAATATATATGGTCTAACCTCTCATACACACGTAATGTTTTGAAGCCCGTGCCGCAGCTGGCTATAAATCTGTAGCCCGCTTTCTTTTTCTCTCTTCTCTTATTTTCTTCGCGTGTGCATATAGCTTACTTGTAGCATTCTATTGTACTTGCTCTAAAACTTTAATGTGACCTAATCCTTTCATCATATATAAGCCTTAAAAAGGGAAACATAACTCTATTACGACTGAATTGTTTCACAACAGAATCCAACACAATTGAGTGTTATGACTGACATACAAAACCACAAAACGTAACCATTCATTACATGCAGTGTTTCATTCATCAATCCAAACCTCTTAATAATGTGGCGTTATTGGAAATTAAATCGCAAAATGAAACTCACCACTGCAAATGTAATAGTGGTTAACAACTAAGATATTAGATATAAATAAATGAGTATGGTTGTGATCGATCAAGATAAGAAAATAGGTGAATTAAATATGGTGTGTGTTTATAGGATGAGTGTGCGCGTGTTGTGAGTGTCTGTATTTATCTCGTGTTTTAGAAAAAAAATGGTTGTAATTAGTTGAGATAAGAGAGTATATGCACAAATTAAATTAGGTGTGGTTGAGACAAGAGAGAATATGGAAGAGCTGCTATATTTTTAGATAAATTTTGAATGGCAAATGATGATATATTTTAGGACAGAAATATAGCAATTTTTCATTATCTTAACCAAACACAATCATATTTGATTTAATTTATCTACCTATCAATTACAACCATCTGTTATTTAGTTTCATCTCTCTCCTTAATATTTTTAAAATAAACTTGTATTTTTCTGAAACATGATACAAACATAGACTCTCACATACGTGTACACGTTCACTTTATAAATGCACATCCTATTTTCTACTCCTCCGAGCTGATAATACTTATCGTTTTAGATAAGGGTATGGTCAAACTTTAAAATCTTTGATTATGAATCATTTTTAAAATATTTATCTTTCAAATATGGTGACTACATGTACAAATTTGTCTTAAAAAGTACTTTAATAAAATTATATATTTGTTAACACTTTTATATATATTATAATAGAAAATAATGGTCAAAGTTATTTTTTTAAAGACCATGCCTTTGTCAAAACGATAAGTATTATCAACCCGGAGGGAGTACTACCTATGTTTTGATATTAATAAAGTCACATTGGACTTCTCACTGCCAACAGAGGGGATACTAGGTTGAGATGAGATAAGCTTTGCATTAATTACCAATTACCATCGTGTGCAAGGAATAATAACCTTAACCAGTACAAATTAATTAGGTTTAGTTTTCACTGTTGATAGCTACCACTGGTTTTTACTAGTACTACTTATATTGATAGGCATCGATCGGTAATTCGATATAGTTTGTGCTTTCGGTGCAAAGTGATAGCGATAAGCAGAGAGGATAAAAAATCCTAATTTTACCAAAGCATACATATCCTCTCGATCGATCGTATTGACCGTGATGATGCAGCAGCTGCAGCTCATCAGCACCCATATCCACACTGTAATTTAATAATAGAATACTCCCTCCGTTTAAGTGCAGCTATGTTTTTTTCACACTAAGCTTTAATCATTTGTCTTGTTTAAAAAAAATAAAAACACAAGTCACGAATAAAGTACGATTCGTGTTTTATCATCTCATAACAACAAAAATATTAATTATAAAAAGATTTAAATAAGACGAACGATCAAAGTTAGACACGAAAGTTTATAGTTGCACTTAAAATAGAAGGACAGAAGAAGTACTATTTTCTGCGTTTTACGAGATTAACCTGTATGCCAAAGTCAAATTGTCGTTTGTATCCCTGACATGAAGCACTAGAGCAGCAGCAGATCGCAGTAATAAAGCAGAGTTGCATCACAAGTTGTGATTCACAACGCACCCCCGCGCGCGCGACCTTATCGGTAGCGTGCGTGCGTCACACACAAGCAGAGCTATAAAACCCATGGATCATACGATACGAACGGCAGCCAACCGCGCGCGAGATACCGGAGAAGACGCATGTTTTCATTTATAACAATCCGATTCCTTTTTTACCTTACATCATTCAGCAGTGCGGTTTCATTTTCTACCACTAGCTCTTAGATAATAGATATGTTTTTAAGACTTATAATATAAACGTAGACGCTCACGACATATATATACTTATAATGTTTTAAATTACTATAGTTAGATAAACATAAGTAGCGTGGTTATATTTAACGTGCAGAACATTTTAATAATGATATATTTGAATATTCTATATAAAATTATTGATATAATAAAAATGACCGAAATATATTTGTTACTAAAATACAAATTTATTGCTAAAAAAATAGTCACGGTATATTGGTTAATTAAATTAGAAAACAATTAAAGTTTATGCATAAATAATTAATGAGCACTACTACACGTACTAAATTTTTACTAACAATCATCTCAACCATTTGATTTAGGTATGTAAAAGTTATAAAAAAAATCTAGATGTACTCGTAGCATGACACATATGTCTTAATAAGAATTTAGTGAAAAAAAAAAGTAGTACGTATAGCCTTTACTATCGGTGTCGAGTATTTTCAAATGGAGGGAGAATTCATATTATGTAGCTGCGTGCAGGGGTGGAGGTAGAGTATCTCAGGGGGTGCCTAGGAACCCGGTCAAGAAAATTTTTTAGCTATACCTTATCTATTTTCACTATGTATGTACCCCTCTCAATACAAATTTAGATATCCATACCAGCTTAAACTCGATTTAAAGTAGAGTAAATTAAACAAGTGACACCTCTCCGTCCCTCGCTGCGTGGCTACAGAAAAGCGGCGCGCGAGAACTAGGTAGCGGGGCAAGTTGAAGCAGCGAGAATGCATCCAAAAACCGGTGCTTAATTTGGTTTCTGGTAGGCCAAGGCCAGGCCACGGGTTGCCGCTCCGGGAGAGGAGAAGAAGAGAGGAGACGCGTCGTCGATGACGATGAGTTGAGTTGGTTTTGGTTGGTTGGTTGCCCCAAGCCAACAACGGACGATTCCTAAAAGGCATGGCCTTACCTAACAAGCCTCATTTTTAAATGCTTCCTTTTGTCCCTTTTTAAAATTTTTATTGTCACCTCCCTAGCTACCTTAGTCCTTCCTTCTACGCTTAGTTACTCTTCCATTACCAACAGTGATCACAAAAAAAGGTAAATCAAAATCTTCTCTTCCAAGAAATACCACTACTATGTTGGTTGCATTATTTTACGAATCTTCCAAGAGTTACTACTACCTCCTAACCAATTTAAATATAGTCGCGAGTTTTCATATCCAAGTTTAACCGTCTATCTTATTTAAAAAAATTATAAAAAATTTAAAAATATTAGTCACACATAAAATACTATTTATGTTTTATCATCTAATAACAATAAAAAATACTAATCATAAAATTTGTTTAAATAAGACGATGATCAAACTAAATAATGCAAAACTGTACTCCCTCTATTTTTTAATAGATGACGCCGTTGACTTTTTCTCGTATGTTTGACCATTCGTTTTATTTAAAAATTTTATGCAAATGTACAAGATATAAATCACACTTAAAGTACAATGAGTGATAAAACAACTCATAACAAAGTAAATTATAATTACGTAAATTTTTTGAATAAGACGAATGGTCAAACATGTGAGAAAAAGTTAACGGCGTCAACTGTACTGCAATTTATATTTTTTTTCTATTCTAAAACTGTTTGGAGTGCTGAAATTATATGAGTTTTGTACTAGTATATCTAAAAAAACAAGATGATACAGTTGAGATGGAAGGGAGAAGAAATTGTGGGTTCCAAGTGGGGGGCCCTAATCGATCTCTGTTTGAAAAGAGCCAAGAGAAAACGATGTATCATTTCTCTTCTCCGTGTACATGGAAACAGGAACAGTATATGCAGTACATTCCAGCGAAAAGGAGGCATCATGGCACACCAATCTTGTGTGCAGCCAAAGCAGGTCGTAAAGAAAGCGTGGTCTAACTCACGGGGCGCTTTTAATCAAAACTGCAGGATTAGGCGATGGTCACATGCGATGCGAGGTAGTATAGTAACAAGTCACCATAATTAAGATCTGGTTCAATGGCCCCAGCCTTGAAAGCATCCATCCACTCCACATACTGGATGAGGCACTGGATCTAACTGAGCTATAGTAGCTAAGTTACAGTGAAGTGACTAATTAAGTACTTACTTAGCATCAAGTATTATTTGTCATGATTAGTCAATATATGGTAATTACAACAGAGACAAAATGGAGCAGCAAGAGCAGCAGAGGAGATGTTATCTCTCTCTCTCTCTCTCTCTCTCTCTCTCTCTGTGTGTTTTCACCTAGAAGAAAAGCTAACCAATATCCAAGTGACAAAACGAAAGAAGAAACTACAGAGGAGGAGGTGCTCATTTCATTTCCAAGCTTCTGAAGTCGAGCATGGCTGTCCTGAGTCCCAGGAAGCTGCTGCACTTGCAGTCTGTGCTCTTGGGGAGCCCCAGGCTGCAGCTGAAGCAGACGCCGGTCTCCCTCTTCACCGGCTTCATCATCATGGGCTCTTCTTGGGAAGGGAGGCTGATGCAGAGGTCCAGATTGAGGTCAGGGCACTTGAGTGGCTTCCCATGGCCCCAATCGGCGGCTGCCTGCTGCTCCTGTGCCACTGTCACCGCCTTCGGCTGATGAGGATGGTCCTCTCGCCGGAACACGGCGGCCTTGTCGTCCCTCGCCGCCGCCGCGGCCGCCTCGAATGATATGGTGATGTTGGACGCGCTGTCGTTGATCGGCCGGTGTGTCACCGGGTCGATGCCACGGCTCAGCAGCTTCCTCCTGATGTGCGTGTTCCAGTAGTTCTTGATCTCGTTGTCCGTTCTTCCTGGCAACCTCCCGGCTATCAGAGACCATCTGCATCAAACAGGAGTAGCAACAACAACAACAACAAACAACCGTTTTAGCAATCAGAACAGTATCAAACACGAGCTCTTTATATATAAAAACTGAAACTGATACAACTCATATTCATGCATGCAAATCCTAGTATCATTGAGATGAACACACGTACTTGTTGCCTAAAAGGCTGTGAAGCTTGATGATCAGCTCATCCTCCTCCTCGGTGAAGTTGCCGCGCTTGAGGTCAGGCCGGAGGTAGTTGATCCACCGGAGGCGGCAGCTCTTGCCACAGCGGAGGAGGCCGGCGGCCTTGGGCAGCGATCGCCAGCAACCTTCGCCGTGCGCCTTGATGTAGGCAATGAGCCGGTCATCTTCCTCCTTGGTCCATGCTCCCTTGTTGGTGTGTGCCTTCTCGCAGCACGGTGACCTCCCCATGAAGACGATGAAGCTTTCTTGATTCTTTCCTTTCTTCTGCTGCCTCGGTGGGTTGTTTCAGTGGAAGTTGCTGCTGCTGCTGCTGCTGCTGTTGCTGGGCAGCAAATGGGTGGGTGGATTTTTATAGGGACTTGACTCAATTGGGGAGGTCTTCTAGAGGCTGAGTTGGTGAGAAAAAGGTTAGGCTGGTAGGCCTCCTCCTTGCACAGGTCATGGCATCATCACTGGATTACCAGCTTAATTTTACCTGCAAAGCCAAAGCGAAGAGGACACACAGGCAGCAGCCGTGGAGCCTCTGCCTGATAAAACCCTTCAAGGTAGGTGTAAAGTGAGGTAAGCCAGCAGCGCCCAACCGTGGGCTTAGGCAGATGATGGTGTTGACACTGCCAGCCCTGATGGCTGACGCCTACCTCCTCTTCTCTTCCATCCCTTTGGCGCTCTCGGTTTTAACAGCTAACTAACTGCATCATCTGATCATCTCCACCACGCCACCATCACCACTATTGATGCTTCATTCCCCTTCCATGTCTCTGATTTGTTCCTAGTTAGGTTCAGCTACTTTTTTGTGGGGGACAAATCCATTTTACCACCCTGAAATATCGTGTTTTTTTTCTAAAAGCCCCTTAACTCGAAAACCGGGTATTGAATCTTCTCGGCTATTGAAACCGTTCGACTTATCCACTGTGTTCAAACCAAAGGATTCCCATTTGCCTACATGAGCAGATCAAGAGGTGAGTACTTCATGGAGGTTGTTTCCATTCTCCGACAGAATTATGTCAACATGAAAATGATTTGTGCCGTATACCACGCACATAGTAGTAGAGTGGTTGTATACGGGTCATCCTTGTATTTTAAAAAAATGAAATACCATGCCCTGATCTCACCAGCTCTAAAATTCTAGCGTTTCATCATTTAACAAGGAAAATATTTTGGTGCACCAGTACAAACCCATGAGCTTATTAAACACAGGGTGAGGTCCTAAACAACGGAAACCCTGATCATAGACTTTTTCCTTAGTTTATTCTTCAATAAAATAGGATAAACCGGAATAGGTATCTTGCAGTCACACTGCCTAAATGAATATTATTTGCCACCCACCTTATTTCTTTATTTTCTCTATAATAATTCTGCTTCCAGAATCATAGCTATTGTCATGCTCCCATCAAACTAATTTCATGTGGAACTTTCTGTTTTATACTCTAATATAAGTTGGTTCATCTGTTTGGTCAACCCTAGATTAAAAATTCACCAAACTCATCAGTCTTGCACCTGCTTCATATTTCTTTCTGTAACAAGGCAGATCATGGATATCATTATTTATATCAGATCATTAATTATATACACAAAACTGCATGGTGATAGATTAACATTATCTTTAATCCTTAATAGGAATATAAACTATGATCTGGACCCCCTCCACTTCTTTAACATGTGTTTTCGGTTGCTTAGCAGAGTACAGAGCGGTTCACATATTAATATGTACTGTACTAACTAAAAGGCCGTGGACATCAGGAAGCAGATGAAATTATGATTTGGTTAGATACTTCAATGGACCCATAAATGCTACTAGTTAGGAGGAACTTACATATCCATGACAAATTCCAGATGGGCTTACATATTATTTGTATACCTAATATATTCTTGTGGATGGTTACCAAACTATGGACCATAGTTGGTTGGGTGTAAGGAGAGGAAATATCCGAAACCATTAGCTTCAGTTGGGGCCAGAATGATTGGGACTTCACACTCCACAATGGTCCTCAATATGATAGGAAATGCTTAAGTTCTTGATATCACCACCTTCATTTCTTAGCTGTAGGAATCGAGTGATTACAACCCTTGATCCAATTCCAATACTGTTCTTTTTAGTGTATGAGTGGAATGAATTGACATGTGTGTGATGTTTTCTGCTGATTCAAGGGTACTTAAGCAAAACTAACAAATATTTACATGTTAATGAACTAGCATGCTAGACTTGCTTCAAATTAGTTCAGTTTTATCCAGAACTATAGCTAATGATGGATTTTACTTTGAAATTCTTATGGAAATCAAACTGCTAGTTTTATTTTCAATAGTGATTTCAGCTATTCTATAATGAAATTGATATGGACTCTTTACCTTGTGCTTTTAACAATTTTTGAATTCCACATTTTCTAAATTATATTTCGAAGTGAACTCTTCGTTTTAATCTAGACCCACCAGCAATCAACGGTGAAAATTTCTTTCTTTCCCTCATTAACACGGTAATTTCTAGGCCTTAGAGTTAAGAACAGACACAGATGCTCTTTTGAACTTTGTTTTTAATAATGTAATAGAGTAGAGAGATAGGCATATCATTTTCGCAAAAATGGCTAATGTTAAATTTCTAACATTAAATCTATAACAAGAGATTTATATGAAAATACATTTCAACAATGTACAGCAAGGGTCATCTATCAACTAGCTGTTCATGCAAATCAGAAAGCAACTAAGCATTAGACACCAAACTTCTCTATTGCATAGTTATCAATCACTAATCCTCATTATTGTTTCTAAGTAGCAATAAGCTAGTTGGCCATAAATCAAGTTTAGTGTCCTGTCAGTTTGTTATCCACCACAGTTTAATACACTCTTAAATAGGCTCCCAGTTTGGTGCATTGAATTTAATCAAATAAACCATTTTGGTTGTACCCTAATCACCACCTCACTAGCAAAAGTAGTGCAATCACTGAAAAAAAAACGCATTAGCCTCAGTTCTTTAGTTGTTAAATGGTAGGCAGTAGTTCTAGAAAGCATGAAGGCTGATGGAAAAAGGAGGGTAGGGAAATGGTTTGTGTAGCTGAGGTGGTGTGTCGGTTATGTGCAGTTGTTCTACCTTCCACTTCTTAGCCACACACTTGTGGTGGAAGCCTCCTTCTCCAGGCTGGGCTGTTCTGAGTTAGGGGGAAGGGAAAGAAGGCAAGGAGAGAGGTAGGTCTAAGTCGCTCTTTTGTTGTTTTCTCTTCAAGGGGGGCATGGGCAATTAGCTATCCCCACCACATGGCACCAGCACAACACCACCTATCTATAACTCCTCTCCCCCAACTCCCTCTTTGTTTCCCCAACCTACATGCCCCTTATATGCCTGCATAAAGCTCCAAACTCCCAGTGCCATCGTCCTTTTCACCCACAATCTTCTCTCTAACTACCAGTCCTTTGCATTCTTCTTCCATGCATTGGCTAGTAGCGGATTAGGTGTGGTGTTGGTCTCCTGGACTTCAAGCCAAATTCATCAGCTAGTAGTTTCCTATGGTTGACCATAAACTCAGATTTTACTGAGTTCAATGTTGTTTTACAGAATAATTCAAGATTAATAGTAGTAAAAATTACAACAAAAGGGTCTAGCAGTTATAATTGTTGTTCTGACTGCAGGAGAATTTTCAGTCTTCACATAGATGATTGGCATAAGAAGACTTTCAATACAAGTACACTACCAGAGACTTTGACTGTCTTTAAAGTTAAACAAATAGAACAAAATGGGCTAGAAAAACACTAAGCCCTAGACCTATGTTCGTAGTTCCATATAGCAGGTCAATACTTTTTTCAATGGAACGAGGACATGGAGAAGATTAAGACTTATGTGAACTTGGACTCATGAAAGAAATGTGAAGTTTACCTTGACTTGCTTTAGCAATTTTGCCCCCATAGAGAATCTCTGGTAACATGCAACAAGCAGTTTACTTAAAAGCTCTAGTTGCTGATCAAAACAGGCAGTCCACATATACTTCAAAAATTACCTTTAATTTGTATTAGTGTACAAGATGCAAAAATGGTTGCACATGCTCACTGATCATTTCTACTTACCCTATCAAAAGAAATTCTTGTAGATATCTACATAACCAGCATTTGAACACAAGGTTCAGAGTTAAAATGAAACTTACATCCAATATAACCCCATTCTTTCTGTAGTTTCTGAGGCTCCTTCAGTGCTTCCATCAGAAAGTTAATGTCGAAAGTTTCTCCAACTTCATTTGAACGTGACTGAAGATATGGCTGTAGAAAGAAGATGTCAGAAATCCATGTATCCTAAATTCCGAATCTCATTTAGCTTTTAGAGAATTAATTTCAAATGAAAAGGAGTTGGATGCATCTCTTCTTGTTGTCACATATTCCACTGCCCATGGAACAAAATTTCTAATTATGTAGTGCCACTCTTGGCTGGTACCAACAAATGGTATGTGAAACTAAATGGCAAGTTGTAGCACAATACCATGTTTTTACAGCTCCAACTTAGCTCAAACAGAGTAGCATAACGAACTAAAGCTGAAATAGCAACAAAGCAATTCATTGATGATTTACAAATCTAGCTAGACATGAATGTTTGGTCAGGCTGATCCATCTGCGAGCTAATACAAATAGCAGATATCATTTCCTTTCTAGTGAATCAGTTTGTCCTTTTTTAACTACTGATAGACCAACTCGTTTTCAGTTTAGTACAGAAGCATCTTCCAATAAAACAAATAAAATACATAGTATTTCCTCAGCTGCTGGGTATTATTGGTGGTTGAATAATTGATTGGCCCAGGAATACTCAGGAAATCTTGGAGAATGCACATGCAAATAAATAAAGGGAAAATTTTGTACTATATATTAGTATTACACTGAAACTTTGATTATTTTATCAAATGAGAGGCTGACAGCTATGTAATTTCCACAATACATAAATGTTCGATTATCCAACTGAGCGACACTCCCATTATAGTATTATACTAACTTGGCCAACATAAAGGCAATTGCGATTTGTTTGGCATAATATTGAATTTAATTTCCTAAGATCCAATGGAAGAACATCCTTTTGTACATCTATGTGTCCTTGAACAGTTTCTCCTTCCTCACTATAACTATTACCCATACTCGAGTTTGTAAGAGTCATTCCTGAACAATTTTCCCACTTTCAGCTATAGTTGATCATGGACTTCAGGTGCCTGCAGCTCATCCCAATCATTATATCTAGGTTCTAGCCAGAGGCAAGTACAAATTTTTATTATTGTCTGAATACAGAGAGAGCACAGGTCGCCAGTTGAAACTATAGTCCTATATCAACATACATAGCACCTTTTGGTGTATTGTCTGCATGCTAGTATGTAATGTGCCTAAGAGGGCAAATTAGTGATGTTTATAAGTCCAGAGGATCCTCAGAATTTCAGCTCTCCTTTATAAACATAAAAAGAATGCATCAAATGTGGAGCGACAGTTGATGAGGGCATAAGAAAGCAGCTTGCAGCCTCATAGCAATTTAGTACATGATTAGGGTCTTGCAGATGTGAGAAATCTTTATTTTGTAAGGTATCTTTTACCAATTCTTTTAAGGCGCCACGATAATGAGAAATGGAGTTAGAATTAGATTTACTGTTGTGACATCATGTTACGGAAATGTGGTGGATATTGAGGGGGAAAGGTTTAATGGAAAATCGGGTGTTCTGATCCAATTTGCAATCTTTGTCAGTGTTACTGGTCAGACTTGATTTCTTTTTTTGTCCAAAAGACTTAATTCACGAAAGGAAGATGAAGGCATTGAAACCAGAAAACCTACAATGTCAACAGTACCCATGATGAACTTACCTCTTAAAATGTATTTAGCCATTAGCTTTCGTTGCCATTTAGCATTATATGTGGGCTTTTCATTTGTATCACATGGGTCATGTCAACATACAACCCAAGAAAAAAACAATACATGCAACTTGCTTAGAAATTTTGGTCACAAATATGACTCCAGAGCTACCACAGTATCACAAAATGGGTTCTACAGAACAGGGACATTTTTGTAGACATCGATGCAGATGAGCATAATTGGGGTGCTATTATACACTAGGGCAGAAAATATACATAGGCAACTGGCAACCACCGAGTACCAACTACAACAGATTCAAGAACACAATTATGAACACAGTTAAGCAAAGTGAGTACTGTGTCCAATGAAACAACACAATTAAGTATTACTGGAACCGAATGTGGATTACTTACATTCTGCAGGGGCACGTTTCTCAGACCAGAAACCAAAACTTCAGAAATGGGAAGCTGCTAAGAGGATTTCTGCTCCTCACTCCCGTACAGTTGAACCTGCGCGATCATTTCAACACCGTAGGAACAAACATAAGCAAAATAATAATAATAATAATAATAATAATAATAATAATAATAATAATAATAATAATAATAATAATAATAATAATAATAATAATAATAACACATCGCACTTGTCAGTGCACCACCACATCAACGGAATGGCCTTACCAACTCACATTTGCACCGCACGAGGACAGGCAGCCGCTTTCAACCCACACGCCCATCAAGCCTGCGGCTGTAGAGGCATAGCTTGCAGACATAGCTTGCTGTCCACTACCCAGGATGATGGGCGCGTAGAGGCTTGAAGCCCCAACCTCTCCATGCCTTGCTGCGCTCCGGCATTTCGTCAAACACCAGACGGGCCCATCTCCCATTCTCCACCACCGCTCCCTAGCACACGAGAGAGACGACGAAGAATACATCCGCAGCCACCGCGACTCCACAGTTCACCGCGACACATGCCGCGCAGGCCCAGCGACCGGCGGCGCCGCCGCGAGCGCCCGCCACGGCCAGCCACGAGAGAGCGAGAAGGCGAGAATGCGAGAATGGCGGCGAGTAGAAGAAATGAAATAAAGTCTAATATGACTCCCCCGACTATAGCTCGAACTAGGCCAGAAGGGCTAGGCGTTAAATGGGCCGGAATTATCTGGCCCGCAGATCCAGCACGAGAGGTTTCCAACGGCTAGTTTTTTCGCAAACGGCTAGTTCGGGCAACGGTCGGGGAACCCAAGCTTGGATTCATATATCTCCTGTGGAAGGGAATCCAATGCCTAGTAGTAGTCGAGCACAAGCCGCTCCGCCGCCACCTCCTCCTCTCAGCTCCGCCGCCGCTGCCTCCTCCTCCTCCGTTCTCGGGTCGACAGCGACGATGATGCAGCAGCAGCAGCAGCAGGAGACGTGGCTCGCGGCCGCCGCGGCGGTGGGGCTCCGGCCGACCAAGTCGGCACCCTGCTCGCCCATCAAGCCTGCGGAGTCGTCGGCGTCGGCTGCGGCGGCGGCGGCCATGCTCCGGACCAACTCCGACTCCTTCCACGTCGCCCACAAGGTCCCCGTCGGCGACACGCCGTACGTGCGCGCCAAGCGCGTCCAGGTACGTGATTGCGAGCGAGCGTTCTTGATGGTGGTTTGGATTGGGATTGGGTTGTGATGGTGGTGGTGATTCGGCAGCTGGTGGACAAGGATCCGGAGAAGGCGATCGCGCTGTTCTGGGCGGCGATCAACGCCGGCGACCGGGTGGACAGCGCGCTCAAGGACATGGCCATCGTGATGAAGCAGCAGAACCGCGCGGAGGAGGCCATCGAGGCCATCAAGTCGCTGCGAAGCCGCTGCTCCGACCAGGCGCAGGAGTCCCTCGACAACATCCTCCTCGACCTCTACAAGGTTCAATCCCCCTCTTCCCCTTCTCGCCATTGCTCTGCAACAATGCGCGCAGCAAGCTGATGCGTGTCGATGAATCTGAGCAGAGATGCGGGCGGCTGGACGACCAGATCTCGCTGCTCAAGCACAAGCTGCAGCTCATCCACCAGGGCCACGCCTTCAACGGCAAGCGCACCAAGACGGCGCGTTCGCAGGGCCGCAAGTTCCAGGTCACCCTGGAGCAAGAAGCAACCAGACTTCTTGTAAGAACCCACACATCCTCTCATGGATTCGTCTCTTGCAATGCAAATCTTGCTCATCTTGTTCTTGGGTGTGTGTGCAGGGAAATCTGGGGTGGGCGCTGATGCAGAAGGAGAACTACACGGAGGCGGAGGGGGCGTACCGGAGGGCGCTGCTGATCGGGCCGGACAACAACAAGATGTGCAACCTGGGGATCTGCCTGATGAAGCAGGGGCGCGTGCTGGAGGCCAAGGACGTGCTCAAGCAGGTGCGGCCGGCGGGGGTGGACGGCCTCCGCGGCGCCGACTCGCACCTCAAGGCGTACGAGCGCGCGCAGGAGATGCTCCGGGACCTCGAGGCCAAGCTCGTCGGCCGCCGCCTCCCGCGCGCCGGCGACCAGCTCGTCGACAAGAGCTGGCTCTTCGACGCGCTGCTGCTCGGCTCCTCCTCCAGCATCTGGCAGCCGCAGCCGTGCATCGACCACATGCTGCCCCCGCCCCCGCCGCCGCCGCGCGACCAGTTCGCCGACGAGAACGCCGCCGCCGCCGCCGCCAACAAGAAGGCGGCCGCGGCCGCGCTGCAGCCCAACATCCTCCGGGTCGACGCGCAGCCGTTCTACTCGCTGCGCATGCCGCCGCTGGCGACGAAGCCACAGAACATTCAGCAGAAGCCGCCGACGCCGCAGCCGCAGGTGCACGATCCGATGGGCAACCTGAAGAGGACACGGTCCGGCAACGCCATGGACAAGGCGGCGGCGGCAGCTGCCGGACCAGTGGAGAAAGAACCGATCAACGACGAGAACAGCGGGAGGAGGAAGTCACTCTCCGCCGAGGAAAGATGGCCGGAGCTGCCCGACCACAGCGCGTTCGACGAGGCCCTCGTCGCGGCGGTCCTCGCCCCGGTCCTCGATGACTCCGCCGCCGCCGCCGCAGAACGGAACGACAATTGCTGCAAGCCGGCGCCGCCGGCGGGCTGCGACACGAGCCCGGCGATGAAGGAGAAGATCGGGAAGAGGCTGAGGATCTTCCAGGACATCACACAGACACTGAACACTTTCTGATTTGAGTTCTTGATTTTTTTTTCTTTTCTTTGCAACTCACAGCAGCAGCCGTGGCGACGCCGCGAAGGAGATGGGCTTGTTCTCCTGCGAGCTTTCTATGTCGCCGCTAAGTTAATTTAGGATTCGATTGGGTTTTAGTTCGCTGATGATTCTTGATTTGATTTTTTTTAACACACCCTAATAACAGCTGATTGCTCACTTTCTTCAGCTTGACACCAAAGCTCTTCTTGTAACAGAACACGATTGATTTTCATCTTGTTCTAATTCAGTTTGTTAACAGTTGAATAACAAAGTGTCATTAATTTATCTTTGCTGTGTTTGTTTGGACTCAATTTCTGAATTGATCTCACTTAAACTGTCATTTCATAGCTGGCCACAAAACAGTTGAACATCCTTCCTGATGACACTTGTTTCTGAAAACTTTATTCCTGATGCTATTGATTCTGCTGTTGAGCAATTGCAAATCAATGTTTAGAACCCAACCAATCTCTACTTGGTTTTCTTAGAAGACTCGTAGAGGTAACCTGCGATAACTACTACGGCTGCAGCAACTGCGACCCCAAACGCACTCTGCGCGAGTGTAGCAGCAGCCGTTGAACCATCTGATTTTGCAGAGCTACGTGGAGCGAACCCAAGTTCGGAGAGCTTCTTGTGTGATTCAGCGTAGTCCTTGAAGAAGGCATCCTCATCCTGCCATTTGAGGATAGGAGTTGTAGGTATATTCTGAGGCATCCATGTAGCTCTGAATAGGATACATCATCTATCATTTACCTTCGCGTAATGATCCACAAAGCGCCTGAATTCAGGATCTTCCAGGAGAGCCCTGTCAGTTGGAAGTTTCAAAAGTCCCTCTGATTCCTCCCTCAGCAGTTCTCTAAATGAATATGGAGAAAAATGTCATCAATCTCTCATCACTAGTTCCCAAAGCAAACGTATGATAGATGGTTTAACATTGAGCTTACAGGAAGTAAGAGTTGTCAAACTTAAGTGGTTCCTTGGTCCATGCACCGTCAAATCCAGATCTTTCAGGATGTGCCTTTCCCTGTGAGAAACAATCCTGGCAGTGTGATGATACAAATAATTACCAGGTGCTTATATTCAAATGGAGAACGAAATTATCACCAGGGTGTGGCCACCAGATAGAGCTACAATTAGGGGTGAAAACGGTACGGAAACGGACGGAAACCATCTTTATCGTTTTCGTTTTCATATTTTTTTTCGGAATCGGAATCGGAATCGGAAACCCCGGATACGAAAACGGAATCGAATATTATCAAAACCGAAAACGGAGCGAAAACGAACCGGCGCGAATACGGTAACAAAAATTTATTGGAATAAAAAACCCCTCAAACTGATAAATCCAATTGAATAAATTATCTATGTTTAAAATAATAATGTTGTTGATAAATCCCAATGTAAGACAAAAAATATTCTTATGTAATTTTAGATTTGCATAACAAATATTTTTTAAAAAAATAAAAGCCAAACACCATGGTATTCACTATTTAGTGCTTAAAAAAAGAATCTAGGGTATTTCAGTCACAAAATTTCTGGTAATTCCAAGAAAATTTCTGGAAAGTTTCCGACCGATTCTGAGTTCCGACGGAAACTGCCCTTATCATTTCCGATTCCGTTTCCGGGAAAATATTTCCGAATTTGTTTCCGTTTCCGAAAAATTCCGACCGACAAATTCCGTTTTCGAAAATAGGTCCGGTATCCGGAAAGTTTCCGTACCGTTTTCACCCCTAGCTACAATATCCTTGTCAGTCAATCCCATTTGATAAAAGATGTCTCTTAAATGTGGTGCACCTAACCAGCAAACAAGAAAGAGTAATCAAAATTTATGCCTCGCGGCCTCGGTGAATATGACCTAAGCAGACAAAATAGAATAATAGTAGATGTTCAACAGTTGTACAAAGCCTACTGCAAAGGTAAACCATAAAATTTGAGAAGTGGTAGCCTCAATATGACATGCGAAAAGGCCAATACACTGACGGTTAACCAAGAATTCAACCTGAAGAATATTCTTTTGCGCTCAGAAGAAATACTCCTGAACAAATGTGTATATTGGATGGCTCATGCAAAGCAACCGCTACTGTAACATGTTGATCATTAACAATGCAGCAATAGTTCAACTAGAGGACATATGCTTCTAGTGGATAATTCATTCTAAGTTCTCAACAAGAATATATCTATATTCAGCATAATGAGAAGGCTTTAGTAATAACCTTTCTTCGCATCAGGAAGACGTCCTTCTCGCGGGCAAACTGATGAGTCCTGATTACATTACAAATCAGTTACATAGTGAACAAGGCAAAGATAATGCATCCGTCTACAAGGAAATGACATTTCATTTACCCTTCTTCCAGGAACAAAGTCAACGGTTGGACCTCCAGTAACTTCAACTGCAACCACTCCAGCAAGCTGAGAAGTAAAAATAATCCTGGTTAGTTCATCAAAATATCATGAGTAAATTTCACAGAACTACAGGTATTTTGCATAATTTATCACAAAACTATATATTTAAGAGCTTGTTTCACAAAACTACAGATTTAGTATGTCCGTTTATCACAAAACTACAGGTACTTTGTACAATCTATCACAAAACTACAGATTTAAAAACTTGTTTCACAAAACTATAGATTTCGTGTATTCGTTTATCATAGAACTACAGATTTAGTGTCTTCATTTATCACAAAACTACAAATTTAGTGTCTCCATTATCACAAAACTACAGGTTAAAACCTGTAGTTTTGTGATAAATGAAGATATTAAATCTGCAGTTTTGTGAAACAAGTTCTTAAATCTGTAGTTTTGTGATATATTGTGCATAATACTTGTAGTTTTGTGATAAACGAAGATATTAAATCTGTAGTTTTGTGAAATAAGTTCTTAAATCTGTAGTTTTGTGATAGATCATACAAAGTATATGTAGTTTTATGAAATTTACTCAAATATCATTTCAATTCTACTATGAAGAATCATGCAAAAGCAATGATGTAACCGCAGATAATCCCTTATTTTGCCAAAAGTTTTCCGACATTTATATATGTTTAAGTAGTACAAATTTTATATTTTTATTAGAAGTACTTCTGTGCTATCATGATTTTGTAGGTCAATGTTTAACTCTGGACACATTGTCAGGTCAAATGACTTGTAAAATCAATAGAGGGAGTACCATGCCAAAAAAAAATCAATATCAGAAATTTTATTACTCTCTTGAGGCTATATAGAAACAAGAAACACAATGGAGGAATCCAGAGTACCTGATAAAGATCAGCATAAGTGATATTTGGATGCTTTCGCTTAATAGGCTCTGTCAGAAAATAAGACAACCAGATAAGTGGTAATCATGACACAATTTATTAAAGAACCATTGAAGTAAAATGACTTGGCAACCAATAATGTTCTGTACAGAAGAACGAATTACTCAATGAAGTCATCAGAATGGTGTTACAATTTTCCAAGGTCAAGTAGTAAACAGAAGCAAAAGCTTCCGGTGATAAAAGTGAAGAGGGAAGAGACCACCGTAATCAAGTTTCAAAGCTACTAGGCTACTACAAGAGAAGGAACAAGATCAGTAACACATCAATTAATCTTCTTAAAATGATCGGCAACAAGTGAGGATTGCCTACACAAGGACAAACAAGTAGAAAATTATGTAGCTACAAGGTCAATGATATTGCAAAGTACACACCAAGGAGATCAATGGCAATTTTTAGTCCAGCATTTGAACCATGAGTGTACTCTTCCTCATGCCTAATTGAACCATTTGCACCCCTAGTTTTTGTTTTTGCATCATATGTGCCAGCATCATGCCATCTGCAAGTACAGAAGATAAAGTCTCCACATGAAAAAGAGAATGGCAAAGTAACTATCTAACAAGGAAGATAAACATGGAAGCTTCATGGAGGAACACACACCAAATGACTGACTGAGAAGCCAAAATCATACTACTAAAGATTTTTATTTTTGGGGGGGTTGCCCTTACTAGTTACTACTTTGGCATGTGGACATAAGTGCATAACAAGGTATGTGTCGCCAAAAACACTAGTATCAATTATCACAAAGATGGCGAAACAACTTGTTCTGGTGCTGTAATGAATATAAAATTTTGGTACTAAGTGTCCAAAAGGGACAACATGCTGCCCTTGACCCTCCAATTCCAAGTATGCATATACTCGTATCAGACTAAGATACTAGCATCCAATCCCCGGTGAGAAAGGCACGGATTCTTTTTTTTCTTTTGAAATATAAGCAGGAGTGTTGCCTATTTCATTAATAGAGAAGGATCGCAAGGTTCAAACAAAATATGTAAATATATATGAGGCCTCAAAGGTAAGAAATATAGAAGCTTTATTCTCGCAAAGGTAAAAACTAAAAACTCCTCCAATTACATAATATGACTATGACGATGCAGAGTTCAGTTCTTTTGGAGGAAGAATGAAACAAGATTCATGGATGGAAGCAAGAAAAAGAGAAAGAGGTAAGGAAGTGAGACACAAAGGAATCAAGTGCCATTTGACGGTAGAAATGCAGAGCCTAATCCTCCTCCAAATCCGATTGTAGGATTCCGCTTGCCCCAGTGACAGATTACACGGTCAGTCCACAGAAACCATCCTGATCAAGCCTTTGGACCACCATTCTTTTTTACTATGAAAACGTGGCCCTAGCTCCAAAAGGTGTATGGACGACCATCTCAAGACTATTACTACCTCCGTTTTTTAATAGATGACGCCGTTGACTTTTTCTCACATGTTTGACCATTCGTCTTATTCAAAAAATTTACGTAATTATAATTTATTTTGTTATGAGTTGTTTTATCACTCATAGTACTTTAAGTATGATTTATATCTTATGCATTTGCATAAATTTTTTGAATAAGACGAATGGTCAAACATGTGAGAAAAAGTCAACGGCGTCATCTATTAAAAAACGGAGGGAGTATATGATATTCAGCGTGAGTTCGTAGATTCTCAAAGTACTTACTTCTGTGCTGTTGCTAGAAAATGGGGCTACATTACATTCACATATATAACCTGCCTGCCGATTGAGAATATGTCAGTATGTCACCATTCTCCCCCAAATTCCATTCCCCCAAGAAAATTAAGCCTTTCCTCATACTAGGATGTGGTGGCCCTCCTGGGATCCAGGAAGGCATTTCAATTGCTAGCAAACTTGTGTGGCCGTGCAACAACCTTGCAGCTAGCAACCAACAGTACCGTGAATCAGTGATGGCTTGGAGAGCGAGCACTCTGCACTTCCTATGATAACTTCAGAATCCCCGAGCTGTAAAGATAATTATGGCTAGCACGCAGTCACCGACGAATTAACCCCCTAGCTACAAACACCCAAAGCAGGCAAGCACTGAAGAACAACTGCTCGTCCAGCTCGATCCGACACTCGATCGATCGATCAGTATAAACCCCCGCACGAGTAAATCGACCGAATCAAAAAAGCACAGCGAGAGAGAGGGGTGTGAGGATCGGTTACGGACGCGAGGCGGAGCATGATGGGGGCGCAGCCCTTGGAGGCGATGAGCGCGCGGAGGTCGCGGCGCGCCCCCTCGACCTGTCGCAGGTACTCCGCGTCCACCACCGGAGCCGCCATGGTGACCGGCCGCGCGCGGGGTCGTCGCCGGCGGCGGCGGAAGCGGGGCGGCTTGGCGTGGAGACAAGCCGAGGAGACGAGGAGTGGAAACGTGGAAGCGGCAGAGGAAGGCGGCGGCGACGACGACGACGACGAAGAGGAGTAGTAGAGGAGATAACGTGATGGGTTGTCTTTGGCAGTTGGGCTAGCCCATTGGTGGGCCCACTCCTTTACCGGCCGAACGAACTAGTCGTGGCTGGTGACGTCACTTGTAATTCGTTGGGGGGGGGGAATAAGTCTATTTTGCCTCTTTAAATAGTTTTTGCTCTTGATTAAATCGTCTCACCAAACTGCAAAACCGGGTATAACATCTCTTCTAATATCAGTGAAAATCGACTTCTTCGGTGATTTTAAAAGTGATTTCTTCTGACGTGGCAAGTTGACTGTGGTGGACTTGTTGAGTCAGCAGGTGGGACCAACGTGCATGTGACTTTCATCTTCTTCCTCACCTCTCCCCTCTTTGTCCTCTCTTCCTCCTCCTCCTCCTCCTCCTCTCTCTTCCCCTTCTAGTGGCTCCATCGGCTACCGACAAGGAAGGGAAGGGAAGGAGCCCTAGTGCAAGCAACTCAACCTGATGGCATTCCTGAGGCACCTCCGGAGCAAGTAGCTAGAACCACCCCTAGCACCCTGCGGTGCGCCACCGATGTAGCCGAATTTATCTCGCTTCGCCATCTCCGGGCAGAACCACTCAGACGTCGCAAACATCCTTCACGCGTTGTGCATCACCAACACGGCGGCAGGCGGAGGTCGAGGAAGACCAGCGTAACTGGGTTGGAGAAGGTGAGCACCACTATCACGTCGAACGAGTTGAGCTTCTTGATGGAGAAGAGGTAGTAGTGATGTCGACCCTATGCCGCCTGACATATGCGTTGCGACGGTGTGAACAAAGAACAATATATCTCATGCTAACAGTTTTGAGGTCTTCTTTTCTCCCCCGCATTAAAAGCTTTCTCATCCATGCAAAGCGGCGGTGAGGCTACACTACCACCAGTACTACTATTGCTACTTATCAGCTCAGAAGGCGGAGATAACACTAACGCGGGAGGTTGGTGAGGCTGCGGTGGCGATGTTCGGGCTTCGTCTCCGTCCTCACAGACAGGGGAGCTCGCGCGAGGTCGCGGAAAGAGCGGGAAGACACGGTAGCTCGGGGAAACCACGGCGGTAGCAGCATTCCCGCTCCGTTCACCTGGGGCTGCTACCGCCTTGCTCTTCTCGGCCGCCCGCCGCCCCTCTCCTCATCGGGCGCTGGTCTAGAGTTCATGGGTGAGAGATGCAAGAGAGGAGAGAGAGGAGAGCCCTTGACATGTGGGTCCCACATGCTAACTCAGCGAGTCAACCATAGTCAACCTGCCACGTTATCAAAAACCACTTCCCTAACCAGCTAAGGAGTCAATTTGCTCTAGTTTTTAAAGATTGTGGAGTGTTCAGGAGCTAAGAGAGAGATAAAATAGACTTATTCCATTCGTGGGGGAATACATTGGCCCAGTGAGATCAACGGGCCCAATAAATTCTGCAGAATCTTAGCACAAAAAGGCTGGTTATTGTGGATCTGCGGGCCTGTAGGCTACGTCTAGCTTCACATTATTTTCTTTTTCCGTTATTTTTTGGCTGGACAGAGGGACAGCCTTTACACTCACTCTATCTAAAGTCGGGCACCATGATTCGTGCAGGAGGACGTACCGTCCTCACAATGATGTTAGAGTGATCCAAGCTCGTACGGATTGAGCATTGCACGATCTGATTGATCATCCCGGATTTTCCTTTCGGTCCATCAACGAAAGTAAATGTGCCCAATGCTACTAAGGCCCTCTTTAGATCCCACCTAAAATTTTTCACCTTATAATATCGAACGTTTAAACACATGTATGAAATATTGAACATAGACTAAAAAAATAACTAATTGTATAGATTGCAACTAATTTGCGAGACGACTCTTTTAAGCCTATTTGCTATATGATTTGACAATGTAATGTTTCATTAAATATTTGCTAATGACGGATTAATTATGCTTAATAAATTTGTCTCGCGGTTTACTGACGGATTATGTAATCTGTTTTGTTATTAGACTACATTTAATACTTCAAATGTGTATCCGTATATCCGATATGACACGCCAAAACTTTTCACCTCTGGATCTAAACACAGCCTAATAAAGCAACACAACAACAACAAACTGCTACTACGGAGTATGAGTACTACCATAATCTACTCTCTTTGTCCCGTTTTAAGTGTAGTTGTGAGTTTCTGTGTCCAATATTTGATCGTTCATCTTATTTAAATTTTTTTTAAAAAATAAGTCACGCATAAAGTATTATACATATTTTATCATTTAATAACAAATAAAATAATAACTATAAAATAAATTAAATAAGACGAACGGTGAAATAGTAGACACAGAAATCTACATCTGGCCTTAAAATGGGATGGATGGAGTAACTGAGAATAGCGGTACATTCTTTCGAGAAGGGTTGATCACAAAAGCCAACCAAAGGTGGTCGAGGAGAGCAGCAAGCCAGTGAGCCAGCATCCGCCTCAGCCTCTTTGGAAAAAGCAAACGAAATAAAAAGCCGGGCCGTGCATGCATTCAGCAAACGCATTTAACTCGAACGCCACAAATCCCTCCCGAACCGGGCGGTTCAAACGCTCATTTCAGGGCCGCATTCTCGAATTCGAATTCAAATTCAACCAAACCCCAAACTCCCCACCACCACACACACGGTAGAGAAGTACTCAATAAGTTCTATAAAAACCCAATCTAATATTGGATGTCTATATTTAGATTTATTGTATTTGGATATATTAAGTGGCGGAGCTAAGGCCTGATTTGCACGGGCAATGGCCCGGGCTCCACCAGCTGCAAGCAGCAATTCACCAGAAAATTAGTGCCTAATTACCTTAGTAATCACCTTTCTTAGTCACCGGCAAGGCAGTGCAATCTACAATGTAACTAGTACAACAACAAACGTGCTCAACACAAACTTTTAAAACAAATGTGCATACTAAAGTTATCTATGAATTATATAGGCTTGTATATACCTCAATTTGTTGTTAGACTCGTCAAGGCTCATGCAATTTTTTTAAAATCCGTCACTGGATGTATTTAATCATAGGCTCTGTTTAAGGAGCTTAAGATTCTGAGAATCTATTGGTTGGTAGCTAGCTTCTAAGAATATGGAGAAGCTGGGTTTTTCAGCTTCTATGTTCTCGTTCATTTTCTGAATTCTACAACTACGTATTCTCAGAATCTGGGTGATAATCTGCACTGTTTAGGGGAGGTCCATGGATTCGTTTTTGGTGAGACCGAGGGAATTACAACAAACAGTCCAGTCATTTCACCCACCGCGAGTAGAGTAACTGCCGGCGATCGCAATCAGGGGTGGAGACTGGAGAGAGCAGCATTCAATAGTGTCGGCCTCCCCGCGCAACGTTCCTTTCCATGCGCTTTTCTGCAAAGGAGGCTCAAAAACAGCAACGAGCCAACGAGACGAGACCGCCTCGGTGGTCGCTGCTGTGCCGTGCCGCGCCGCGCCGCGCGGCCCACGCCCAATAAAAAGCCGCAAAAACTCGCGCAAACCCCCGCTCCAAAGCCGTGCCCGTGCCGACCCGAACCGAACCAGCGACCGACGCACGGCACGCACGACCGTTGGGGTGCAGGAGCGGGTTCCCGACGCTGCCCTCGGAAGCATCGGCTCGTGCGCGACGAGGCGAGGGGCAGTTTGGGGATCGCTGAATCCGGCCGAGAAAGAGAGCATGCACACTGCCCGAGATCTCATGCCCCTCTCGCTCTCTGTTTTTACTCCTCCACTGCCGTGTGTGTGTGTCACAGGCAACACGCGTGCAAAAGATCGAACACCTACGGGGCGAGGCGAGCTCATCTCTATCCATCCATCCATCTCGACCTCGCGGCGGCGCCGGCGGCGATGGGGCTGTGCCAGTCGAGGCTGGAGAGGCAGGAGGCGGTGTCGAGGTGCAAGGCGAGGCGGCGGTACACGAAGCAGCTGGTGCAGGCGAGGCGGGACATGGCGGCGGCGCACGCGCTGTATCTCCGGGCGCTGCGTGCCACGGGCGCCGCGCTGCTGCAGTTCGCCAGCGCCGAGGCGGACCACCCGCACCCGCACCACCACGTCTCCGCGGCGCCGCCGCCGCCGCAGACGCCGCCGTCCCCGCCGCCTCCGCCACCGCCGCCGCCGCCGCCTCCCCCGCCGCTCAGCCCGACGCCGACCACCACGTCGTGGACGACCAACTCCTCCTCGATCAGCGCGTCCCCGATCTTGCCCCCGCCGCCGCCGCCGCCAATGCCGTCCAGCTGGGACTTCTGGGACCCCTTCGCCCCGTCCTCCTCCCGCTCCGCCACCGAGGACGCCGAGTGGGACGACGCCGCCACCACCATCGTCGACGCCCCCAACGCCCCGCCCGTCGTCACCGTCGCCGCCGCCGCGGCCCCGCCCCCGTCCGTCGTCACCGCCACCACCACCACCTCCACCGCCAGCGAGCTCACCGTCGTCGCCGTGCCCCGCGGCGGAGGCGGCGCCGGGAAGAAGGACCTCGCCGAGATCGCCACCGAGCTCGACGAGTACTTCCTCAAGGCGGCCGACGCCGGCGCCCGCGTCGCCGCGCTGCTCGAGGCCCCCAACTGCGAGCCTCCCGAGACCAACAACAGCAGCTTCCCAGGCAAGACGATCTCCAAATCAGTCACTCGATTGAGCTCCATCTTGCTCACATTCCACTTATTTCTGACAAATTATCTGTTGCATGCAACTGAAATCGACGAATGCTGCAGGGAAGGTACTGAATTACGGCAAGAACTTGAGGCCGATGGGATGGTCATGGGGCGGAAGCGGGTACAGCAAAGGTAGCAATGGTTTCTCAAGATTCGGAAGAGGGGACGAAGGGATGGGTAATGGCGGAAGCAGCGGAATTCTTAGCCATTCATCCACCGTGGAGAAGCTCTACGCCTGGGAGAAGAAGCTGTTTCTTGAGGTCAAGGTAATTACTTTGATCTTTTAACTTTATTGACAGCATTCTGAACTTTGCTTTCTTGCTAGTAATTAAGAAGTAACTAAGCAAGAACAGACAGAATGGCCGAAATGTACTGCTCAGTTAGATCTCAGTGGGTGAGTGCTTTGGGCTTTTGAGGAGCCCGTCCTTTTTTCAGTTTGATTATTAAGCTGTGATGGGAGATACTAACATGGATTCCGATGGGTTGCAATTGGTTTTGTCTGAACAAAAGCAGCTACTAGTGGGCACAAGTACTAGTAGTGCGTAATGCACATGTATACTGCTAGCTTTATCGTTCCATGTAGCAATATTTTTTCCCTGTGTGTCAGTGTTCAGTAGCTTCTGTAAGTATGATATGCGCTATGCTTTTGGAGTTCATCGAAGTAAAAGGATCATTCCAATTGTATTACTACCATGGAAGGTTTAGCTGAATGGGAGTGGACTGCAGAGAGTGAAATTCATGTTTAAGTATGCCTTTGAAATTATTGATCTCAGGGAGTGTAATACTTGGATCATATAGTTTGTTTTTGTTTGTTTGGTTTAATTTCTTTTGTTACTTTTGGTTGTCTCCCCTAAGCAATCATGAAACATCGACTTTATATATAACTTTAAAGTTAGAATCCTCCTGTTTATCTTTATAGAATTAACTTAACAGAGATTTTCTTGTTCTTTCTATGACTGCACAACTAGCGCAGAGTTATGAGGGGCTTAAGCAGGAGCATGATAAGAAGATAGGGCTATTGAGGAAGCAGGAGGTGAAGGGTGTGGACTACTTGAAGATGGAGAAGAACAAGATGGAGATCGAGAGCCTCGATTCCAAGATGCTTGTTGCCACGCAGTCCATCGAGACCACCACTTCTGAGATAATGAGGCTGAGAGAATCCGAGCTCTTCCCTCAGCTTCTTGAGCTCGTTGCTGGGTTAGTGCAATGATTCATTCACCCTCTATTCTGTCGTACCTTGTGCATCTAGCTGCAGTAGTCCTGGACTATTAACATGATCTCTACTTCCACTTGCCCCTGTCGTTTTTCTAGTTTGCATGTGACCATGGCTGTGTGATGTATAGACTGAGCACATATGGGCCATACATACTATGGCTTTGCCATGCTTGGCTGTAGTGGCATTGGCTATTTACTCTTTGCATCTACCAACATAGCTCACTCTCCCATTGCATTTATCTTTCTCTTCATGTAAAGGCACCTTTGCCACTGTACGAGTAACCTTTCACTCATATTGGGCAACTTTGAAGTAATGGAGTTTGGAAGGAGCAATGCAGTAGTGTACTAGTAGCTGGTAGGTTCTCCAAGTTTTGACTAGTCTGAGTGAATCTCCTGTACATTGATTTGGTTAGACCAAGCCTGTCTCCACAGGATCTCCTAGTCATTATTGCCCATCTAGCTGACATCTTCGGGTAATGGTGACGTAAGTTATACATGAAACTTTTGAAGTGTTTGACATGTTGTTGTTTGCCGTATTGCTGACTTTAAGTATTTTTGAAGTGTTTGATCAGCAGTGTTACTGTCTTACTGATAAGCTCATTGTTTCTGGGAGAACACTAGTTCTCCAGTAAAGAAGAGAAGGTCATTGAGGTATTAGTGCATTCTGCATTGCACTTACCCCTTTAGATATCCATTTCTCATAGGGGGTCTCTGGCTATACTTAACATGACTGCATAAATCTGGAGTATGCATTGGAATTTTGGATTATTTTGCTTCAATATCAACAATTTAGTGGAAAACATAATTTTCATATAACCTTTTCCTTCAATGATATGATGGGCCAATGCTACACAAAGTTTGGTTGATACACTCTACCCCTACCTTATTGAAGACTGCTGTAACATAACCTAGCTAGTTATGTTACTGCACTTTACTTCAAATTCTTGTATACTAAAATTCCAGCTGGTACCCCTGTTTCAGCTTGAAGTGGTCTCCCTATGTATAAGTATTCTCAGAGTCTACATACTGTCAGTTGCATTAATTATTTTCTGGAAGTACATTTCCTTTCTTCAGCACCATGCCTATGCTTTTTTTTCCATTCTCATAGAGTGTTCCTTTTTTTTATGAATGAATTCCAGCTTGATGAGTATGTGGAGGGGCATGTATGAGTGTCATCAAGTACAGACTCACATGGTGCAGCAGCTTGAGTACCTCAACAATTCCTTGAGCACTAACCCAACTTCCAATGTCCACCGGCAAGCAGCTCTACAGCTTGAGATCGAGGTTGACAGATGGTACTCAGCATTCTGCAGTCTGGTTAAGTCCCAGAGAGACTATGTCTATTCATTGACCGGATGGCTTCGCCTCTCACTATTCCAATCCTATCATGATCCATACAACAAAGCTCATCAGAACTCTGATATCTACAGCTTGTGTGAGGAATGGCAGCTAGCCATTGATCGAATCCCCGATAAGGTAGCCTCGGAAGGGATCAAAACTCTCCTGACAGTGATACACGCAGTTGTGGTACAACAGGCGGAGGAGCAAAAGCAAAAGAAGAGGTCAGAGTCTGCATTCAAGGAACTGGAGAAGAAGGCAGAGGAACTAAGATCCCTTGAATCCAAATATGGGCCATATTCGGGTGCTGAAGGCTATGGAGATATGTCTCGGAAGTCGCCAGTATCAGACAAGCGAGCGAAGGTGGAAGCTCTGAGATGTCGGGCGGACGAGGAGAAGAGCAAGTATGAGAAGAGCATTGGGGTCACAAGAGCAATGACCTTGAACAACCTTCAGACAGGTTTCCCTAACGTTTTTCAGGCGATGACGGGATTCGCCAGCGTTTGCATGGAAGCGTTTGAATCGGTGTACAACTTCAAGAGTTCAGATCGGATCCTTGATTCGAAGAGGCTACTAACATGAGATTCTGAGAAGTTGTCTTGTGTTGGTGCTTGGTAGGTCACTGTATAAAGTGTATACAGTTCTAGAGTTCTTGTAGAATAGCAGGTGGAACAGGGTTTAACTTACAACCGTCTCTGTCTGTTATCGTCTTCTATCTTATGGTACTAGAGTAGGCAGGCACAGAAATGCCTCGAGTTCATTTACTCGCTGTGAACGAACTTGAGGCCTTGTTCTTCCTCTTTTTGGTTAGCTCTGAGGTGTTTGTCCATTCTTGGATTCGAAATCTAAAATCTGGCAAATTCAAAAGCTCTGGTTTTCGAATTGTTTCATATCTTGCAAAATTTTGTACGATGACAGCAGTATTTCGCATACTGTATAGTCTATTATAATTCGGCCTGCCCGTTTTCATGTTCACACGTCATGTCAAAGAATTTTGTCGAACGCACAACTTCTTTTTAAAAGAATTCAACTCTGCCAGAATTCTATGTTTATCTGCATTGAAGGATAATGGGTCATTACATCTCACATCTAATTCCACTTCCGATGCCAATAGCATGGTTGCTTCTACGTTGTTCTCAACACAATTTTGAAAAAATAACAAAATATCTCAACAAGGTAAAACAGATGCCTGGACACAAAGAAGTAAATATCTACAGAACTCAATCACAGGTATTGGCCAAACTCTGTTTGTAGCAACAACATTCATATGTATCATCCTGTATCTCACGAAGTTCAAGCATTTCACCTACTTCATCACGGTTGCTATGAAGTTCTCCACTGCATCTCTATCTGAATCTGACCATTTTTGGAATCAATGAGGTGGTACTTCTCATTGATCCGCTTGTTGCTGATCACATCTGCGAGGCTTATATCAATGTAGCCTAAGGTTTCCTGAATAAATTAAAATACTCATCAGTGATTCTGATATTCATCATGCACAAGTCGAGAAAGTAAAATGTTGGCATGGGACAGAACTTCCAGGCACAAAACAAATACCTTGCCGTGTATCAATCCTTTCTTTGAAGCTTTACTTAGAACTTCAATATGCAGTTTATCATTTACAGGGGGTTCCTCGCATACAAACTCGAATTCGTCCTCCCACCGTGGATCCCTGTTTTTCTTGATTACCTACAAAATTGAGGTAGAATTTTATAGGTTGGGGGGGGGGGGGGGCACATGAGATCATACCACAAACAATTTCAGTGCAGATGTTCAAGTGAATAATATTTGCAAGATATTAGTACCTTTGTTTTCTTCTCTTCTCCTTTGAAAATTATCTTTGCATATGGGTTTGTGTGATGCTTTCCTTCAAGATCTTGAGCTTCATGAACAACAACATAAAGCAGTCCTCCACCAGCTGGAGTACCATCAGGAGCTTTCTCCACCACATCAGCATTATCGATGCCTTCTTTCTCCATATCCTCTTCCTTGAAAGGCTTATATGTCACCTCCAGAGTAAGCTGACCACGGGACTTCTCATTTTGTACATCATTAGGATCCATCGTCTTAAGCAAGTTAACAGTCATGACTTTAGTCTCATCTGCGGGAAGTTCTTTCAACAGAATGTTGTTCATGCCCATTTTCTCATGCTTGCCAACCTGTATACATCAAAAGAAATAATCATGTCTTTTTTGGTATAAAAAATGCAGAAAAAAGTAGCGGATTTCATTAATGAAGCGGTCCATACCTGTTCCCAATCAAAGACATTAATTTCCAGTGCCTGAGTTTCAGGGTCTGTCACAACAAATTTGAAATCCTCATTCCACTCTGGATTGAGATTGCTACGCTTCACTGTTGTTTTCTTGGACGGAAGCTTGTCATCTGACATCTTAAGTTTCACATATGGGTCCGATTTACCCAACAGATCCTTCTTTCGCAGGTTTTGAGCTCTTAAAACTTTCACAAGTAGAATTCCAACAGGCTTCTTAGAAGCTCTGCAAATAGATGGAACCATTAATGTGGCATCTCAAAAACTGCATACAAACAAATAATAGACTAAGTGATAGATAATGTACTTTGAGGGATCCATTATGGGAACTTCCAATGTCTTTGGCCACAAATACATGCTCGCAACTTGCTTTTTTATGGTCTCCTGCAAATGCACAAATGGAAGTGGTCAAAATATGAACTACTTGTACTGAATGGAGTGAGGCAGTCTGTGGCACATCCACTGTAATGGCTAAGATAGACACCATCAAATAACATCAAGTCAAGGGCTCAAGGCTATAGGATATGAAATTATAGCAAACAAGAAATATCTTGCTTTTGCTACATAAGAATGTGTGTACGAATCTAAGTCTAAGCACGTGTAGACCAATAACAGAAGCAAGTTACAGTACCACATTACAAGTTTGCTGTGAATGTTAAAAGAACTGTAGCAGTTCTTTCATGACGGCTCACTTTAGCTCTACGTATTTCTAGCAAACTAATGAAAATCTCAACACCATAGACCAACAAACTTTCGCATAAGAAGGCTCAAAGTAGGAGTCAGGAATACCTGAACAAATCTGTAAAGACCAGGGATAGCCATTAAATCTGCTCCGAAAAGTTTCAGCCCGAAGTCAACGTGTGGCTGCCAAACCAACATAACTAGTAAGAAGGTTGCCAGCAGGGTAATAAACATACAAGCGATCAGATATCAGACCTTCTCCATGAGAGAAACAAGGATTTTTGCGAAGCAAGGAAATGTAGGGACCAATGGCTTCAGAGTAATACGAGGTGAAGCAAAGACTTGCAGATCCACAATCTGAAATTTTGTTTCACATGAACAATGAATAACTTAATTAGCTCAATTCTATATCATATCACATAATGAGAACACCAATTACTACTTCAGCCCATGACAAAAAAAAAACCTGGACAGTTGCTTTCAACCCATAAGCCTTTACAACAACAGTGACATTGGGATTTGCAGCCCACTTAAGAGATGGTTCCATTATCAATTCTTGTTCTTCTGTGACATACACTTTCATTCCTGGAGAAGCAAATATCATACAACAGATTCAGTGTAATGCCAGGGTACAAAGAGAGCTGAGCACATAGAACATTATTGTCCACCATACATGTTTATGGTGATGTCCATATGACATTAACTTACAATAAGTAATAAACAAGCTGTACAGACCTATGGCTATAATGCATAGAGTTGGTCATAAAAACATAGTATGACAGCTTAGTGGGAACAAAGTAGTAGCAATGCATTCATATTCTATATCTCCAGCGATGCAAACCATAACTACTCTGATGCTGATTTGATTACAGTTGATCGTAAAACAAGTTGATATGAACACAACTGTTTGCACAATATACAGAAACAAGGGCCACTTCTAAGGAAAAGACATGTGAACTACATATGTATGCATGTATATAATGAGAAAGTGCACTAACCTTGAAAGGTGGGTGGTAAGCTACCCAATGTAAGTGATTCAAACTCAATAGATTCTAGTTTATACGTCTTCCTGTTCTCTTCAATGATTGGCTTTGCAATATCCAGTGCAGTTCTGCAGATCGCCTACAGGATAAATGCACAATAAAGTTTCTATTGTCAATCAGAGAGATCCATTTCATTCTTGGTGACTTGGTGTAGTCTACAGCAAGATAAGGGTACCTTGTTGAGGTAAGGCCACATCATCTCCAAAAATCTATTCAGCCAATCAATCTAACAAAGAATAAGAGGAAGATGAGAAATATGAGATAAGCTAGCATTGATGCTGTTCAAGTGCATGAGTTTTCTTCAGCGAGTAGATGATAGTTTAAAGAATGGGTAAGCATACTCTATCATAGTCAGGATTCTTGACCCACAAAGGAATTTCAGGAAGGATACCGTCCAACGATATTGAGTCATATTCGACAAGTGGGCGAACTTTGACGTCCTGAAAGGCAATCAGAGGAAGAAATTACCCCCATGCAGCACAACAATATGGTGCATTACACCAAGAAAAACTCAAATGTGTGCCGTTCCAGTACATATGGTATCAATGGACATGTACATGCATATATATAGTGTAATAGGTCATCATACACCAACTGAAAGGTTGCCTTTATTTGAAAATCATGAAAGATATCGTTTAAACACCCAAATAAAATAATAGATGCTTATATATGGCATATTAACAGTATGTGGTTGAGACTAACTGAATTAGGACTTCACAAAAAACTAAATGAGTTCATCAATGCCTCCGTCGTCAAATTATTTTCTGTAACAGCAAGAGCCAAACTGTTCCCAGGCCATTTTGGTTGTAAGGTGTAGACATCTGTTAATAAGCAGCACCACACATTCCACAACACAAGTATTCATTATATGACAATATGATAAAATTTTATACAGTATGAAAGGAAGAGAATCATTGAAATATAGATGTGCACCTTGACATCAGTTGGCTGGAAGTAGATGAAGAAGTAGTATCCGATGACAATACCAGCGGAGAATCCAAAGCCAAACCCAGAGAAACCAAGCACCGTACTAATCACACCCATCTCAGACTCGTTTTAGTACCTCCAAAGTTATAGCAGATTTCAGCCTAAGGCTGCAAAAATCAAACATGTCGGAAGATGAAACAAAGGCTTACACTCAGGTAAATTAATCAATTGAAACACTTCATTCAGCTGAATCATGAGAGAACAACAAGTGGTCTAGCCAGATCCCTATCACTAGCTCGTACCTCCTCTTTTTTTTTTTTGGTGAAAATACTCTATTCAGCTTTTTGCGTGAGAGCATCAAAATATCCCGGCATAAGCAAAATTCAGAGCAAACAGATTTGAACAAATTGCAGAAAGCAACATGGAGCAACTTCCAACATTAGAAACTGGAGGGGCCCATCAATCAAGATTTCCCCCCTAGTACGACAGTATGAAAGTAACCTTCACCCGCATATCACCCAAAAAAAAAAGTACATGTTGAAAGTTCTTTTAATAAAAAATAGTGAAAACGACCTGCAGGAGACTGATAGAAACAAAGTTTAGCACAGCTAATGCCAATTGGTTCGGTAACAAGAAGATATAGTCATATGGTGAAGAGAAAACTTGTAAACTTTAAAAATGATAATGCAGATTTCAGAATAATATAGGCTGGAACCACCCAAAGTTGCAATGTTTTAATTAAATAATTAAGCGAGAAGACAAAAGGTGGATTCAAGTGGTGGAAGAAAAGAACATCAAAGGTGTGCTTTACGGATGGTTTCTTGCTTGGCTGTGGGGTTGGCGCTTTAATCTTTGCTTTTGGGGTGGGTTTCGTATTAGAGCAAATCCGCTGTACACCAAACTGAAGATTTCAACAAAATATAGTGGTGGGATCTGCTTGTGAAAAAAAAGAGAATAAAGTTCGCTTGGAGGTAGGACAGAGAATATTGTTACAGAGTGTGAAATTTTCTCTTGTTCGATTAAATAGAATTCAACCAAAAACATGAAATGAATTGCACAGTTTATCTATGCTAGATTCACAAATTTACATTATTCATAATATTGCTCAAACAACACATCCGCGCACAGTGTTCACATACGAAAGGTAATTCCAAACGGAAGCAAATTAGTTTTGCCGAATTCACTGACTCACTTCATGCATGTTTCTCCTAAATAAGACATGATTCGATAATTGTCTCAAATCGACGTTAATCGCCAGCAAATAAAAAAAAGTCGCACGAAAATGTACCCCAAAAATGGTGAACCCAATCCGCCCCTACGATTGCACGGATCAAAAATTCAAAATCGATCCTACAGTGGGAAAAAAAAAACCCTAGACGAATCCAACTTTAGCCGCAACCGGACAGACGAGAAAACACCCAACAAAAATCAAAAACTCCCATCCAATCCTACAACAGCCCAAAAATCCAGGCAACGAACAAAAACCTAGATCGCCCCCCAACGCGAGAACGACGACCGATCCGAGCAGTCGGGGAAGAGGAAGAGGAGGAGACGAACCAGTGAGAGAGAGAGCCCGCTCCTCGGCCAGTCACCCCCCCTGAGATTCAGGCCATGGAACTCGCTCCGATCCGGTTGTGAGTGCTCGGAATCGGATTCGCCGAGGCGAGGAGATGGAATTTGGGGGGAAGCCGAGGTGGAGGAGGAGAGGTCGGGGTCGCACGTTGCGTTGCGGCGCCTCACGCGCGTGAGGCCGCGATCCAAGGTGTGTGTGTGTGGGGGGGGGGGGGGGGGGGGGGTGGAAGAGGGAGGAGGGAGACGAGTGCCTAATTAAAGAAGCGAAGCGAGTTTGATTTGTTTCCTCTCCTCTCCTCTCCTGCCTGCTGCTGGATGGGTGTGAAGTGTGAACTGTGGTGGAGTCGGATGAGTGATCTCGGGGACGCCGACGTGTGGGGACCGGGGATGGTCATGGTCCTCCCTGGCTCATCTGCCCCCCCCCCCCCCCCCCAACTTTTGTAGTTCAAACCTTTTCTTGTCTTGTGTCGTGCAGTACCAAAAATCAGCGAAATTTGCGTGAAGTGTTTTAAAAAGGATCCTTTCGAACGTATGAAAGGGAAAGGATTTTTTTTTAGGATTTGAATCATAAAATTCCGATGTAGTTATTCGCAGCAAATGATTGGTCCTCGAAATTTTCATTGAAAATCCCGTGAAATGAACCATCGGTTAATCCCTCCCTCGAGGATTTATATTAGTTCTGAAAGTGAAATGAACCGTGTTCGGATAATCCCACCCTCCAGAATTTATATTAGTTCTGAAATTAATCTCCTCCACTTATAGAAATTTTAGAGGAAAACAAACAGGCATCTTACCTCGTTTTTAGGTAATGGACAGTCATGGTTTCTTCTTTTTATATGTATGATTCCATCAGTGCATGTACAATGGTATGTAATAATGGGCTCTCTTCACTGTTATGCAAGTAAATTTGGTGACGTGGAAGAAAGAGATGGAAGAAATGAGAAATATCGTTGCTACGCATGATAACAGCTCAGAGTGGACTCTTAGCATAATGGAAAATTTGTTGCATGAGGGTGGAGAAAAGGAAATAAGTATAATAAAAAATTATTTGATACATTAATGGTTTAGAAATCTTATTACCTCTACTATTATAGGAGGATTGTCTTTAGTGATATTAATTAGTATAGAGAGCTCATATTAGACTCTACCTTTGTACATGCCCTCAGGGTTTTTCCCGTGTGTCATCGGATTAGATTATTCCAATTTTTTTTAGTTTATATAGAGTCTGTATGAAGAGACATTCTATACATGGGTTTTTTTCCTTCTATCTAAGGTGGTGTTTGGATCCAGACACTTAACTTTAACTTTAGTCCCTGTATTTAGACACTAATTTAGAATATTAAATATAGACTACTTACAAAACTAATTACATAAATCAAAGCTAATTCGCGAGACAATTTTTTAAGCCTAATTAATCCATAATTAGATAATGTTTACTGTAGCATCACATAGGCTAATTATGGATTAATTAGGCTCAACAGATTCGTCTCGCGAATTAGTCCAAGATTATGGATGGGTTTTATTAATAGTCTACATTCAATATTTATAATTAGTGTCCAAACATCCGATGTGATAAGGACTTAAAGTTTTAGTCCCATCTAAACAGGGTCTAAAGTTATATGCTCTTCTCGATTTCTATGTAGCTTATAAGACGCTACAGAATTTTACAACTTGATTTGATGTTTTTTTCCATCGAAGTTGTTTTCTTTCAATTTCTTGTGTTTTTCCTATGATCCGTTCAAACGGTGATTCTTGTTTTTTTTTTTTGCGGTTCTCTGTTTACCCTTATATTTCTATTAAAATCATAGTACACATGTCTCAAAATATAAAAGTCTAATTCTTTCGTTCTATAAAATACTAATCAGGACATAATGTGACACATCATAGTACTACTACGTGGACATGAGGTTGTCGATATTCAAGTAGAATATGCCACACTGTGTATTTGATTGGTTTTTTATGAAAGAGAAAGATTAGTATTGGATGGGATATATATTAGTATAATGAATCTAGATAGCAAGTCTATTTAGTTTCGTAGTATGATATATTTTATCTAGTGCTAGGCTATTACTCCGTATATTATAAAATGGAAGAAGTATGCTTTTCCTATCTATCTGTTTTCTTAATCTGCTTTTCACGTAGACCATCAATTTTTTTGAAACAAGTAGACCATCAATTTTGGTTACATGCGAGGTTGCCAAATGGCAACGAACAAATAAAGAGCATGTCTCTGCATTTCATTTTGGCCATTAGTTTGGCGGCCTTAAGCTGATAAGCCGTAAAAATACCTTATTAGTAATAAAAACTAATTTCTAAGGAAAACTTTATATTTATACCTAAGCAATTTTAAACTGAAAAATAAACTACTCTCGACAATTTTAAATTAAAATTTCGACAGCAGAAAATCGGAGGCATTTGCATGGCCTAGCAACCAGGTCAGTAGCAGCCACGCACGTACCACCGGTTCATCACCCGACCAGTCAAATCAGGGCGTTATTTTCATGATCCAAATGCAGACAACGGATTGATCGGTCGTGTCGCGTCGTGCAACAGAGCAAAGACGACGTGGATGCTCCAAGTCGTGAGACGTTTCCCAGCCAGAAAAAAACTCGCTACTCTCCTTGACGCAGAAAGGGCCAAAATTCTGCTTGATATGCGTAATTTCCTCGGAACTCATATAATACTTGTGTGTGGTAAGAACAGTGTATGTCTCCATCAGGCCATAGTTCGTTTTCAGGACAAAATGCATCTCGCTATCTCCTCGGTGGAATGGCGCATACTGGGGGTGTATAATCATGCAGACTGCAGACACCTTTGAAGCTGTCCTGTGTCGGCAGCGTTGCGTCGGATTGGATAGGCCCTCGAATTGTTCGACAACGACCTTGCTCCCCTTCCTTCAGGCCCATTCTCTCGTGAAAGCAAACGTCGGATTCGAACAGGATCTACTAATAAAGGAAAAAGTACACCGAAGATACCTCAACTTAACTTGTCATCGGGTTACAAAATTGTCCCCCAACCACAACGTCCCTCAACTAACTAAACCGAACGGTTTCGTTTGAGATTTTTTTTTGGTGGTTTTGATTTCGGTTTTGTCCGACGTGGCGCTGAGTAGCGTGAAACTCATATGGACCCACATGTCAGCGTGGCCACATCATCATTATCTCCCTTTTCCTCTCCCCTCTCCCTTCCTCATCTCTCTCTCCATCCTCTGCGAGGCCGTAGTGCGAGGCGGGACGGGAGAGGAGGGCGTCGGCAGCCGGCGACTGGCGACGCGACGGCGGTGATGGCGGCTACTGGCGACGCGGCGGCGGTGGGGGAGGAGCTGCGGGCGGGCGGCCGGGGAGGGACGGCGCGCGGGCTCACCCGCCGGCAGCCGCCCACGAGGCGGCAGCGAGGGGAGGAGCTGCAGACGGGCTGCGGGGAAGGGGTGGCGCGCGGCCGGTAGAGAAGCAGCGTGCGGGCGGCCGGGGAGGAGCGGCGCTGTCGGCGACTCCCACTCTCAGATCCCCCTCGCTCTTTCTCTCTCTCACCAGGGTCCAGGGGCGCTGTCGGCGGCGCGGTGGCGCCACAGTGTCAGCAAGAAACAAACATATGCAAATCCAATCTGATGGGAGGAGCATAGCAACCGATGGTGAAAATCTTTGATATGTGTGTGTTGATTTAGCGGAGAGATCAGTGAGCATGTGATTCGCATATTGATTGTTTGGTTCTTTCTAAGTAAGAGAAGAAGTGAAATGCTCCTATTTGCGGTGCAGCCGAGCAGCAAGCAGAACGGAGAAAGCCGCAACGGGTGTACCTTGGGGAGCGAGCAGAAGGAAGGATTTGGCAGGGTCGATGCCGGAGAGCCGACGCGCGGCGAGAGCTGACGCAGCGCAGACTGCAGAGAGAGCACGTGCGGCGGCGGCGGCGGCGGTGGCGGCGTCGAGGTCAACGGCCGCTTGCCGCAAGGTGTTCAGCGACGCCGAGCTGATAGCCGTGCAGCAGCAGGCGCCGCTCGTGGGTGCAATGCAACTGGTGGACGGCATCAAGATGCTGCTCAACGACTACTGGCCTGCGGCGGCGGCGGTCGCCGGGAACGGGATGGCGGCAGCGCCCTCTTCGACGAGGCTCTCGGCCGACCACTACGTGCTGAGAAAAGTGAGAGATGAGGAAGGGAGAGAAGAGAGGAAAAGAGAGGATGCTGACGTGGCCACACTGACATGTGGGGCCCACGTGGATCCCACGCTAAGTCAGCTGCCACATCGGATAAAACCGGAGTCAAAACCACTAAGAGCAAGTGTTATGGTAGATGTGACTACCACATCTAAATTTATCCGTACTTAGGTGTCATTCGAACCTACTAGGATGAACATTTAGAAAAGAAAATATTAACGTGTGATTAATTGGGTTTTAACTATTTTAGACTTGGAAATGAATTTATTGAGATTTTAAACCAACTTCTACATAGAAATTTTTCGTTTGAAATACACCGTTTAGCGATTCGAAGAGCATGCTAATAAAATAATCTGAGATAAAATCTTATCCAGAGACTTTTTTCCGGTGAGAATAGAATGTTAACGTGTTGGGCCAGAAGAGGTGAGAAGGCCGTTTCCATAGCTCGTTTTACTGGGCCGAGCAACCAGAGGCCCACCGTGCATCACATTGACGGTGCCCCCCATACGGCACGCAGACAGAACAGCAGAAGCGTGCCGAGACGGCGAGGTATCCCGTATCATCCCCCTCCCGACCCGGCCGCCGCGGCTCGCGCCAACGTTGCCGTACGTCGACTTGTGCTGCATCTCAAGCAAACAAAGCGCTGAAACGAAACGGCAGGATCGATACCCCCCGAGGCGGCTTCGCCTTTCCTCCCTCCAACCACGTGCCACCCGCGCGCGTCGGCGATCCCTACGTCCGCGCGCGCGCGCCGCGATCGGACGGCTCCCACCCCTCGGCCGGCCGCCGCCCACGCCTCGCGTGTCGCGGCACCTGTCGGCCACCCCCGCTCCCCGCGGCGCACGCGACCTGAAGAAAATTTTAACAAACGCCGTGTTTAGATCCTAAATAATTATTCAAACATCCAACTTTTCCATCTTATCAAAACTTTTATACATACATAAATTTCTAACTTTTCCGTCACATAATTCCAATTACAACCAAACTTTTAATTTTAGTATGAACTAAATACAACAAAAAAAAAACTTCTCTCTCCATTTCATTTCAAGCGCACCTATTTTTATGTCGATCGTTCGTATTATTTGAAAAAATTTAAAAAAGTACTACAACTCATAAAAAATATTTATGTTTATCATCTAATAACAATAAAATACTAATTATAAGAAAATTAAATAAAATAGATGATGAAAGTTGGATACCTAAAATTATGGCTACGTTTAACGTGGAACGGAGGAGTACTATCATGTCCCAATCGCCTGCCGAGCCGAGAGGGAAAAAAAGGTGACCGAAGTGGCCGCGAGCACGGTACGTCGCTCGGTACGTTACGTACGTACGTACGCCTTGCCTATCCGTTGCGAGCGGTAGACCAGGGTTGGTGGTGCTGCGTGCAGGTCACGGCCGCTACGGCTATAAAATTGGCCATTTGGCCCAGGAGAGAGGGGGTCCTGGCACACACGGCCGAACTTTACCCAACGGCTCTCTTTGCATTTAACCACCTGTTGCTTGCTATTTATACACTGCAGATGCTCCAGAGAAAATCCCGCTCTTACAGAGAGTCCTAACTGTGCTTTGCTTTGCTTGTTGTTTGACATGATACTATAGCATCCACTTTGTTCATCTTTTTCGTTTAACTAATTTCTTCTCTTTTTTTTGTCCTTTTTCTTTACAATTATAAGCTGCTTCGATCTCGATCTGTTTTGGTCGATTGAGATCAGCAAGCAAGCAACCATCTTTTTATTTTTATTTTATTTTTCTTTCATACATCTCCACCTATTTTTTGCTGGTTGGAGTTCTTCTATTTCTCTTTTATCTTTTCATAGTTTCGATTTGCACTTCAGCTTTTCTGATCTACTCACCATCATCATCAGCTTGCGGCTGCTCAGGTCAGATCAGCTTGTTTCATTCGCATCTATAGCTTCTTTTTTTCCGCTCAAACTGTTCAGATTTGCAAGCGAGATCGGTGCCAATGGAGAACGCCTTTAAATCGTTGAGCTCTTCGGCAAAATCGCCATCGTTCATGGCTTCCAACAAGCACTATCACGGCGTCGTCAACCACCAGCCTCCGTTCCCACAACCGCCGGCGACGCCACCGCAGCCTCCGCTCCTGCCGCTGCCGGCGCGCCCCCATGCCCCGCCGCCGCAGCAGCACGCCGCCTGGCCGGCGCCACAACGTTCCAAGAAACCAAGCCACGCCACCGCCACCGCCGCCGCCGCCGCCGCGGCGCTGGGCCCCAAGAAGACGGCGCCGGTGCCCATCCCTGTACAGGCGGCGCCGTCGAAGAAGAGGGCGGCGGCGGCGAGCCAGCAAGAGGCGGCGGAATGGACGACGACGACGGACTCGCTGTACTCGGTGTCGCCGCCGCCGAGCTGCGTTCCGATGCCGACGTCCCTGCTGGTCGGTGCAGCGGCCGGGAGGAAGGCGGCGACCGCGTGCGCCGTGGAGGTGGCCGGCGGTGGCGGCGTGGACGTCGGAGCGACCGACGAGCTCCGGCGGCTACTCCGGCTCTAGCGGCCCCACACGTGCCCCTGCTTGCAGCAACATGCCATCGATGTTTGTTGTTTGTTCTACGTTTTGGTGCAACTTGTATACGTGCCCGAAATAAAGATGAGCACGATGTTATTGCTACAGGTTGTATTGGGTATTTGCCCTCTGAATTCAATATATACAATGTGTTTGTGTTTGTGTCACCAGCTGGATTGAAAATGAGAAAGTTTTGTTCTTCTTTTGTTGATCTACTCCGAAATGCAAACCAAGGTCAGTTCATAGCAGAAAAGGTTGCGAGGAGATTAGAGTCTTTGTATTGGTAGATCTCATCTCAGAATAATAAGCAAGGGGCAGGTTGTCACCGTTTCTTCACCTGAAGCAATAGTAGATGTGGAGAATGGAGAATTCTGTAAATCAGATCACTATGAATTCTGATTTCAATTATCACGCAGACATGCAGCGAGGTGTTTTGTCGACACGTTGCATACCTTACGAAAAAGTGGCAAATGATCACTCATCCCTTCTTAAAAACAGAAACAGCTTTATTAAATCTGGTGCAAGAATTGGCAACAGCAAGGAAAATGCAGTAAACCCTTCTTGTCAATGGGGACAACTGTATCACGATTGATCAGTCTTTACGCGCTACAACCAGAAACCAACCCCTATCCACATTCTCCATTATTTCTCCGACAAAAAAAAAAGGGGGAAAGATCTCATACATATACAATGCAGTCTCCTCTCTGAAATGATAATGTAGCCTATTTAGTATACAGTCTGAAGATCCAAGTAGGAAGAATCAGCAGTCGCAGAATGCACGGAGGGTTTCGTCGAGGGCATTCCTGTCGTAATCGCCAGTGAAAACACAGCTTCCCAGAGGTCCTTTCAGGAGGATGAGCCTCAGCAATCCATCAGCAACCTTCTTATCAACCTGATGCAATCATTCAGGAATTCAATAATGCTGCTTTTCAATAGAGGAAAAACAACTTGAGAGCTCTGCTATATACCAATGCATACAATAACAAAAAATAGGTTATCCAACAATTTGTTTGGTGACAAAAGCTGATCAGATCCACTTTGTAACATATCAAGGTACGAGGGTACTTACGGCCATAATACTTTTGAACTTCTCCACTGTCATGGCCTCTGGAGGTGTAATTGGAAGCTTCGCTTTCTCTAGTATGTCAATTGCCCGTTTCTTGATTGACTCGTCTATCCAACCCAGGCGGTGAGACATGTCAGCTGCCATAACCTAGAGTGGTGGCAACATAGAAACAGAACCAAAAGATAAGTAATGAAACGATACAAAATAATGAAATCGAGGTGTTGTAAAAATATTCAGGTGTTCTTACTGTTCCAGCTGCAACAGCCTCCCCATGGAGCCATGCTCCATAACCAGTTCCTGTTTCTATAGCCTGGCAATTGAATAAAGTGATCATAAATAATATGTAGGAGTACATCATTAAACAAACTGTTGAGGATATTTAGTTTCTGGCACCCATATATTTGAATTAAGAATGATTTATTCTGCAACCTATGGCCACCATATTACTCTAAGATTACATACAGTCAAGTCCAAACATACTATTTTTGACAGCATATGTTATCCAAAATATGTAGTTTGAATACATGAAAATGATATAACAGATTTGTTGTGAACAAACTCTTTCGGATTATTACAGTAATGAACTTTTAGGATAAAGTAAAGTAGTTTGGGAAGGTGTACTACAACATATTCCTGACCTAAACAACAAATTTCAAGGCCTCTTTCCATTTTATAATGTGTTAATTAATAAGGAGCACAGGATAACCCCATCAACATTTAAGCAAAAGAAATAAATCTGTACTTTTTACCAGCCCAGCAAATCATACGAGTACTAAACATGGAGTGCATTATAATGTTTATTGACATTAGTTCAGCATAAAATCAACCATAGTTAATGATAATACTTACATGGCCAAATGTATGGCCGAGATTAAGTGTTGCTCGGAGACCACTTTCCTTCTCGTCCTGAGCAACCACTTCAGCTTTGTTTTCACACGATCTCTTAATAGCATAGGCCAGAGCACTTGGTTCTCTACAAGTAGGAATTACGATCGATAAGTGGGGGAAAACTATTATCCATATTTCAGCATTATCATGGTATACATGATACTGTAAAAACTGAAATAGACTCCGCAAACTTTTTTTCTGATTTACAGTTCAGCATTCTCTGAGTTAACATGGTAATGCAAAAATATGGTAGTTCAATGGTTCTATGTCTGCCTGTTAAGCAACATAAATGATCAAAGGAAGCATAACAGAAATGTAAACAACTAAGCTAGGATTGACATGTACAACAATGATCTTTCTAAGTTAGCAGGGTAACACAACAGCTGAGACACTCTATTCAGTCAAACCATTTACTCATAAGATGATACATGTTTCATTTATAATGGTTATTCAGGGATAAAATGAACTTTGCAAATTTTCGGTAAAACATGTTTTCCTGATATGGTTGCTTAACTAAAAAAATGAGTCAGTTCAACAAATATAAATACAAAAAGAAGACATGCTTCCAAAATAGGGATGCATCTAGAGCACCAAACATTTCAGTCTGAGAGAGGACAATAAAGCATAACTAGCTAACTGATATAAACTTCAAACAAACTGCAGGCCTAATGCAGCTGCACATTTTTATAAGCCGGTTATTGAATTGAAATAACATTAGACAACACAATGCCAAAACGTGCTCAATACCTTGCTAATAATGCTGGCATGTTTTTCTCTTGCCATTCAAAGAACGGTGCATCTCTTATGAGACCATACTTCACCACCTCAGCTATGCCTGAAGCCAGTTCCCTGTCAGGCAATGTATTCAGTGTCTCGGTGTCTATCAGTACACACTGTGGCTGGTAGAACGCCCCAATTAAGTTCTTCCCCAATGGATGGTTAATGCCGGTCTTCCCTCCAACAGATGAATCCACCTAAAGTAATTCATGCAGCTCACCGTTAGCATCAAGCTACATGTAACCAATTGTAGTAAAAAATCTAAATCAAGCTTAGGACCTGGGCCATCAGAGTAGTAGGAATCTGTATGAAATTGACACCACGCAGGAACGCAGCAGCTGCAAAACCGCACATGTCCCCAATAACGCCACCTCCCAACGCAACAAACGTGCACCGCCGGTCCAGCCGGGACTCGACTGCCTTGTCGAAAACCTTCATCAGTGTGCCCTGCAAGCCGCAAGCAGTTAAGTACACCCAAATTGGACTGAAACAACAACTGGTAGTCTCTCAGAACGCTTAAGTCTGAACCACACACGCACCATGTCCTTGTACTTCTCGCCGTCGGGCAGGATCACGCTCTCCACAGAAACATTCGGGTTGTTGTGCGTGAGTGCCCAGGTCACCTTCTCCAGGTAGAGCGGCGCGACGGTGGTGTTGGTCACCACCAAAACCCTCTTCCCATGAACATGCCTGCGCAGCTAAGGCATCAGGATCACGAAATGATCGCACCAATTCACTAAATCCAGCAAAAAAAATACCTCTGCAGCAGGTCAGGCTCGTCGAGAAGGCCTGCGCCGATGTAGATCGGGTAGCTCCGGTCGCCGAGGTCGACGTCGACAACCGTGGAGACCCTCGACGCCGGCGGCGGCTGCATAGCGGGGGCCGCGCTCGCGACGACACGGCTGCGGAGGGTCCTCGCTGCGGAAGCGCGGAGGGGAGGAGCGCAGGAGGCGCGAGACGGCGAGGGGAGGGAGGCCGCCGCGGCCGGACTCGCGCTGGGGGCGCGGCGGGCGGACACGGCCGCCGCGCGGGAGGACGACGAGGCGGCGGCGAGCAGAGAGGAGGAGGCGGCGGCCGCCATGGAGGTGGTGGAGCTGCGAAACGAAGACGACGGCAACGGCGACGGCGGCGGGTGGTGGCTGGCGAAGCGGGGGGATTTGAGGCGGGCGGAGTGTGGAGGTTGGTGGGAGAAGGAAGCCGAGAGGAGGAACCGTGCGGTGTATCTGGACCGTCGGTTGGGGAGATCGACGGCCGAGATGGACCCGGGGTTGGTGGGTGTGGTGGCGCGGCCATGGTGGGATGGAAAGGTGGTTGACGTGGCGGGATGGTTGGCGGAGAGGTTGGGCTTGGGAATGGCTGCTTAGGGTGTCGCTGACAAATGGGCCCGGTCAAATCTGTCATCTCGTGTGTGCTTTTTTCTGGGCTTCGGCCCATATGACACAACTTCAATTGGGCCGTCGACCCATGAAGCGCATGAACAACTCTTGATTTTTTTTTTCATTTTTAAGTTTTTATTTTTTAATATTTACAGAAATATTATACCGAAGAAAATATTTACAGGTATAAACCCTACCACCCAAGTAGATGGCGGCAAGGTGACGTGGCACACAACGCCATGTGCGTGCAAGGGTGGCAAGGGGTAAATATAATTTTCGCATGCCCGCTGAGTGGCCTCCCACACAAGTCACCTTGCCGCTCTTTACTTGGACAATATGGTCTATTTCTGTAAATATTTTCGCCGTTATAATATTTCTGTAAATATTAAAAATTAAAAATTAAAAATTGAAAAAAAAATCAACAACTCTTCGGCTTCGTCGTCATCAACCTCGTGGGCTCGTGGCCAAACGGAACAAGTCGTAGGCAAAATTGCCGCGAGCTCCGGTGCCAGCCGCGCATGGCCACCCGCGACGCGCCATTGCCGCGCGGCCACTCCCGCGCAACGCCCCTCCCGCCCTTCAAAGCGGCGGCCTCCGCCTCCTCCTCCTCGGCCTCGCCCGCGTCGCCGCCAACCCCACCCCGCCCCACCCCACCCTACCCGCCGCCGCCGCTGGCCGTTCCCCCCTCGTAGTAGAGCCCCCCCGCGCGCGCGCCGCAGGTTCGGATGGCCGCCCGCGTCGCGGCCGCGGTGGCGGCGGCGCTCCTCGCCGCCGCGCTGCTCCTCCCGGGCGCCGCGGCGGAGTGGACCCTCACGAAGAAGGGCACCGTCGTCTCCTACGACGAGCGCTCCCTCATGATCGACGGCAAGAGGGACCTCTTCTTCTCCGGCGCCATCCACTACCCACGGAGCCCGCCCGAGATGTGGGATAAGCTCGTCAAGACGGCCAAGATGGGCGGCCTCAACACCATCGAGACGTACGTTTTCTGGAACGGCCACGAGCCCGAGCCCGGGAAGGTATATTGATCTCTCTTGCAGTAGATTCAGCGCTCTACCAAAAATGCTACTTTTGACCATTCGTCTTATTCAAAATTTTTTGTGCAAATATGAAAATATTTATGTCATGCTTAAAAAATATTTGATGATGAATCAAGTCACAATAAAATAAATGATACTTCCTCCGTCCCTAAATGTAAGCATTTTTGAGGTTGACACAGGTATTAAGAAAGTAGGTGAGAATGATTGAAGAAGGTGTGTGATTGGTTGAAAAGAGAAAGTAGGTGAAAAAGAATGGTTGTGATTGGTTGAGAGAAGAAGGTAGGTAGAAAAATAGCTTCATTTTGAGACAAAGTACTGTGCTAGAAATAGCTACATTTTGGGACGGATGTAGTAGTTACATAAATTTGTTGAATAAGACGAATGGTCAAAAGTTGGACAAAAAGTCAACGGCGTCATAAATTAAAATATGGAGGTAGTAGTAAATTAGAAGCCTGCAGCCTTTGATTTTCAGTATCATCTCGTACATAGACAGTTTCAGATTCATGACATTTGTTCATCTGTTGTTGCATTGCAGTACTATTTCGAAGGCAGATTCGACTTGATCAGGTTCCTCAACGTGATCAAGGATAACGATATGTACGCGATTGTGCGTATAGGGCCATTCATCCAGGCAGAATGGAACCATGGGTTCGTGTGAATCATCTCAGTGGTTTGCCTTTTGCAATTGTGATCAT